TGTGCGGTCCCAAAACACTGCATCTATTGTTTGCGATATGTTAATTGCTAGAGGTCAATAAAGGCTTTCTGAATTTGATAAAGATGTTGTGCTGGTGACTTCCACCTGATGTTGCTTCTGGCAACGCCATCTGACAGCCCATAGGGGAATAAAAGGGGACTTACCGGTCAGGTGTGCGATGGGCTACATATAATAATTCTGATAGCCCATGCAATATCTTTTCATTCAAATGTAGGGAAAGAAGGTACAACCCACATAAGGCCTGGTTCACACCTAGGCATTTCTGAGCAGTAGAAAAAGCGCTTCAAAACGCCCAACACAAGAAATCCCATGATTTTGAATGGCCCTGTTCACACCTGAGCAGCAAAACGCCAAACGCCCGAAAAGGTACATGAGCTTCTTTGGGCAGTTAACAGCGTGTTTTTGCCCCATAGATTTCAATAGAAATGGCCGCAAATGCGTGGCAGAAGCATTTTGCACATTTTCATGCGCCAGTCAAAATGCATATCTTCATGTGCAAAACACGCACGTTGAACCTGGACGTACAAACTCACAAAAATGATGCCACCTTGGTGTGAACAGGGCCTAAGGGAGAAAACCCTTTTCCACCACAGGGTTGCTTAAAAAAAATCCTCCTGTTCTGTAAAATAAGTCTTTCTAGTGGCCTAGATCTTCTACTGACATTGCTTCACTCCTTCATGTATGTTGCAGGTATTTGATACCTGTTCCCCCTCCCGGTGAACGTAATGGTTCCTGCTGTCAGCTTGTACTTCCAGTACTGACATATGAGCTGGCAGGAGGAATCACTGTGTGTGGCAGGAAGAGCATGTATTTACAAGTCTGAAAGTGTAAAACCACAAAGGAATGGAAATTTAGCACAAATGTTCAAATCTATATTTTCTGTAAAAAAATGATGCTAAATTGTGCATTAAATATATGAGATTTTGCTGAGGTAAAACCAAATATATCTACTGTAGGTTCAAAATCCAGGGGCATTTTATATAGATATAAATGGAAACAAGAGATAAACACAGATTGGTTAACTCAAAGTGCAGCTATTAAAGAGGGTCGGAGAGTCAAATTTAGTACAAAATTAGTGAACAATATTATTGCACCACTTCAAACTACACCCATGATAAATCTAAAAAATGTTTTTTGGTTATTGCAACAACCCATTCACTCTAAACAAACAAACATTCACTCTGTGGACAAGCTGATGTAAATCTAAAATAATGCCGGATAATCCTGAAAGGAGACAGCGCTCCAACTTAGATTGTAGTCTAAGTAGTCTAAGTATGACTCGGTGGATTTCTCTTTTTAGCCACTTGGGACCTGATTTGGGTCTCCTCAGTAAATCTGAGGAGGTTCAGTTTTCTCAGGCTGGTATTGTAGCCGATCAAATGACACACATGTAGCTTTTACTCCCTATTTAGAGCTGTCAACATTTGGGATGGAACGCTTGATTGAAGAGAAAATCCTAATAATTCTGGGACTTAAATTGTGGACCGGTGAATCATGGAGTATGGTGTCACCCTGAGTTATAAACACACATGGAAGAAAAGATCAACCAGATAGTGTGTAATGTCTCGAATATGTCTGTACTCTCGTGTGCTTGACTCCTTCACCGGACAGTCCGATTCAGAATAAAATCTCTGTAACACGCTCCTCCTATGAATCCTCTTCAGTGTTGATTAGGTAGCTCTCTTGAAGGGAAAGGAACAAAACAGTTCCTATGTGGTTTCTTGATATGAAAGATGATGTTACAGGGTCCCAGGTGGCTTTGAATTGGTCAATGAAAAGTTCTTTGTAAAGCGCTGTTTTTGTAGTCCAATGACCCGAAAATTAGAGACCTGACATGCAGGTAATCAGTTAGCTTAGTGTCCACAGTCGGATGACGCGTTTCACCCCTCCTTTGTTCTCAGGGCTTCGTCAGATTTATCATGGGTGTAGTTTGAAGTGGTGCAATAATATTGTTCATTAATTTTTAACCAATTAAACTAATTTTGTACTAAATTTGACTCTCCGACCCTCTTTAATAGCTGCACTTTGAGTTAACCAATCTGTGTTTATGTCTTGTTTCCATTTATGCCTTGTAAAAGCAGCTGGGGGTTGTCTTCTTTGAGAGTCACTAATGAATTAATTTATTCCAATTAATTCTGGGTCTGGTACTCTGGGTAAACGGTTTTCTATTTGCATTTTATATAGACTTAAAACATTCACTGCAGGCAAATCAATGGCTGTAATTTAGCACACATGCACCATATCACATTCACTGCTTTCATATATACCGTGTTTCCCCCGAAAATAAGACACTGTCTTATATTTTTTTTGGCTGAAAAAAAAAAAAAACACACTAGGTCTTATTTTCGGGGTAGGTCTTATTTTTAAAAAAAATTTTTATGTACAACAATCCACACTTATTCATGTACAAAAATATGGTGATCAGGGCAATCAGGGGTGCCGTACCTTTCCAAGAGCAATTTGCTAACCAATCGCTGGCCAGAATGAGTGGAGAGCACTTTCACTATAGATTCCTCACAGGCGGAGTGCATTTGGTATCACTCCGCCTGTGACAGGAGCCGGCACTATAGAGGAGGCATCGGCTTATGCGGCTCTGCTCCCTCTGGTGCCGCCTCGCTTCCTCTAGCGCTGGCACTGCCGATTCTCTCCCGCGGCTCTTCAAATTCCCCTTTATGCCACCACCGGCCCTGGGAATGGTCACAACTAGGTCTTATATTTTAGCAATTCCCAAAAATAGTACTAGGCCTTATTTTCGGGCTTAGGTCTTATTTTCAGGGAAAATACATACACACCCGTCATTGTAAAGGATGCACCAAATTTTCGGCCACAGAAACATTTCAGCCGAAAATGGTACTATGGGCAAAATGCTGATAGTCCCCAAAAAAATTAAAAATATGGCAGAAAAGGCAGTGCATCCCCAGCTTCTCTCCTTCCCGCTGGGCACTGGCTGCAAGCTTCTGACTGTGTCCCCTCCGATCCCCATTGCTCTCCCCCACCCCACCTGTGTCGGCAGCGGACATCGGAGGGGACACAAACCCGATCCAGCTGCTGGCACCCAGCGGGGAGGAGATAATCTATCAGGAGGCCAAGCTAGGTGTCGTGAGGGAAGGACAGTGGTCAAAATGCCAAGGGAGGAGAGCTGTCAGAATGGCGAGTGTGGCGGAGGGGAGAGCTCGGCATCTGTAAAAGACGGGAGGGGGTGGAGCAGTCAGAATAGCGAGTGGAGAACAAACACTGAGCGATCAGTACTGATAATACTTGAGTACATAGTTATTATGTCCCCAGTTATGAACAGATATAAATCACTTCCTGTTCATTTATGAATGGGGACTTAGTAAATATTTACTATATGCTCACATTATGAATGAACAGGAAGAGGCTCAGTACATAGGCTTCCTGTCCATTCATGACTTGGTTTGATAGTAAATATCTCCAGGTTGTGAATTAACAGGAAACCTCTGTACTGAGAGATTCCTGTTCATTGACTGCTGGGGCTGCAGAAAAAGATTGAAGGGGAAATTTATCAAAACTGGAGTAGACAAAATCTGGAGCTGTTGTCCATAGTAACCAATCAACTTCAATCTTCAGTTAAGCTTTGAAAGTGAAAGAGAGAAGCTGATGGGGGGGGGGCGCAATTTTCAGTTGCTTCAGTTCAGTTCAGCAAATTTTGAAATTTAGGTTTTGGTCTCAAAATTGTTTTTGTATTTTTTTATTTTTGTCCATCCCTAGTCATTACTATGACAAACGGGCTGATATGTCTTTTATGTGATAGTACTTAGGGAGTGACAGGTGCTCTCTTTATGGAGACAGTCTATTAGAGTCTTCAGACCTGCCCTTCCTCCAGCCAAAACAGATTGGACACCGAGTCCCTGATCTGCTCCTTAGCCAGCTGCTGCATCCGGGATTTTACAACTCTGAACTTGGAAGTGCTTAGAGCTTTGCATTCCTGCATTTATTCAGCATAGAGGACGTTGGTAAGCAAGAGTTCACTGATCTCCTCCTACTCTTACTTTAATCCCCCTGCAATAGTTTAGGGTCACAGAGAAGCAAGGTGAGCCCGGCAACCACAAGGTGAGTGCAGGAGTAGGGTCTTTAGTGTTCTTCCTATTGATTTTTGCTAAGCAGCCATCATAAAATACTTTTTCTATTAGACTTAAATAGGCAGAAGCCTAATATATGTACATAGTAGTTATTTAGTACAAGTCTATCATTCAGCTGATCCGGTTCACACATAATCAGTTATATCCCAAACCCCTTCTTTACATGTATAGTATTTCAGAAGAACTTTGCCATGACTTTATTCCTCACATTTGTCTGGTAGGTAGGTTGAGGTAATAGGTAAAAAGCACAGAATTATATGCATCCATTAAAGGGAACATAAATAAAAGACAAATGACATCAGCATAGTGTAGAGCTTTGTTTCATAGTAAAATAAGACAGTCACAATCGAGAAATATGACAACAGGCACTTACTTGCTGAATTATCATGGTATTGCAACTCTTGGCCACTGGCATAAAAGCATGGCGGGATGATAGATGCCCAGCTGGACGCTGCAGTCTTGTGATCACCTCCCCATCTAATGGCTTTCTCCCCTGCTGTCACATCACATGAACGTAACTTGTTGCTAGGAGCATGTTTCGGGGTGTTCCCTTTCATCAGGCTGATAGTGATATCTAGTGCAGCACTACAGAGACCAAAACGGGTCCCTAGCAACCAGGTTAATTTCACATGATGTGACAACAGGCTGGTTAGCTAACAAACTGGGAAATAACTGCAATACTGTGGTAATTCAGTATTACCTAGTGCCTATTGTCACGTTTCTCAACTGTGACTGTATTGCTGTTTTCAAGTTTCACTAATAAACAAAGCTCTACACTAGTCCGGTGTTCTTTGTCTTTTGTTCATGTTTTGTAGCACCCCTGCACATGGTTTAGACTCGGCTGATAACTTTTTTTTTATCAATTACACGTGAACTCACCTTATGGGCCTGAATAAGCATGTGTATTACTCCAGGAGCTCCATGACACCAGTGCACCAGCCGATCTGTCTCATTGCTTAATGATGAAGGATAATTACCAGACCTAAACTTCTTGTGCCGAACATAATCGATGCATGGCTTCACAAGCTCTGTCAGTGTGTCTTGTTCTACTTTTGCAAGGGGCTGTAGAAAACAACATATATATGTGTATATATAGATTCATTACAGTAAAAGCCAGAAACACAACTGCCACTGAACTAATATGTACGTGTCTCTCATTGACTGCTACAAGATCATTGTACATTCCAAGCAGGAAAGATGTGAAGAATTTAGTGCTTTCTTGAAGTGCCAGTAATATCCTTGTACATCTCATCTACATACTAGCATACAATACCCATTTTTTAATAAAATCTAATACTGAGCTTATACATTGTAAAGTGTGCAGGAACCTGGCAAGCACCTAATGCCACATCAAGTTTACAATTGGCAGTAACATGTGCAATTGGCATTCACACGTGTGGCTTGCTTTACAGAGCGAATCGTAAAAAAACACTGAAGTTGTTGCTAGTTAGTGAATAAGCCCTCATTCACACTAGAAACGGCCGGCACGTACAGCTCAGTGCACGGCCGTATCGGGCAGCTCCCGGGAAGGACAGGTGCTGCGTGTGATTAGTATGCAGCCCCTGTCCTTCTCTATGGGACTACGCGGCCGTACGCCGTCCTATGCTCACCCCAAGTGCAGGTCCATACGGGTGTGGGTTTCCTGGCTTGGACGCAGACAGGAGCGTACGAGTACGGACACCCGCACGGACTTGTAGGGCGGGTGAGCGTAGGGCGGCGTACTGCCGCGTAGTCCCATAGAGAAGGACAGTGGCTGCGTACTAATCACATGCAACACCTGTCCTTCCCAGGAGCTGCCCGATACGGCCGTGCAAGCAGCACAGAGTTGTACGTGCCGGCCGTTTCCAGTGTGAATGAGGCCTAAAACACACACCTTACTGGCTACGATGAAGAAAAAAAATCCCCTTTTAGCGTTGCAAGTCTTCATAAAAGCTGCATGACTCACTTGCATCAGCATGTAGTAGATACCAGCCAGCCCATGTGCTGCCCCTACATACTGCTTCTTGTGCCATTGATACAGCAGTGGACAGCGGTCACTCTTGTGCTCTTCATTCGATAAGGTTTTCCCAGATTCTATAATGACATCTACAAGCTGAAATCAGATGGAAAACAGAAAAAAAATAAATCTAAATTTAACATACATTTTACTTGCCAATGACTGTTAGATTTGATGTTAGCAGTAACTAATGAAAATTAAGGCTTGGTGAACCAGTCTGTTTAAAGTGGGGGGCATGGCCACAAAACCAATAACTGCCACATGCATTGCTGACATTAACTTTCAACTAAAGTTGTCTTCAGCAAACATGACACCCACCTTACCACCAAACACAGACAGGGAAACACTTCCCTGTTGTGTGTGAGGAAGCTGGGAGCCCTGTAATGACTCGTTGCCCCGCTTAGACTAATCAGGAAGCCGGGCAACGAGTCATTACACAGCGCCGTCTTCTGATTGGTCAGAAAGCCGGCTTAATGAATCCTCGTCACTTGGTGATGAGGGAACATGGAGGCAGCTTCCATGCTTATCAGGAAACTGGTGGTGATTCTTTACACGCTGCCTGTTTGCGCAACATAAAAATTTTCAACTACCACCATTTTATTCTATAGGGTCTTGGCATTCAGAAAATATATAATGTTGGGGGGTTTTACGTCATTTTCAGGCCTAAAATGTGGAATATAACAAGGGTGCAAAAATGGAAAAAAAGGGCCTCAGTCATGAAGGGGTTAATGGGACTTCCGGTATCGGTGATGTCAGGGACCAGAGCAACCCAGGTGGCGCTGGAACTTGGTCCTGCAGTTCCTGTGCTCACCTGCAGCTCTCTCCAGGCAGCCAGGGGCACATCCCAGCTGTTGGAAATTATTCTCCACCTGGTGCTGGCCTGGAAGGGTATTTAGCCCTTTCTCACAGTGAGGCTGGTGCCTCAGTATTGTCGCCCTAACCTGTATCCTGTAGCCCGAATCCTGTTGCCTCCTTGGACCCTGACCCCTTCCCCCTGAGGTCTCTTGATCTGTGGCCCTGCTCCGCTGGTTAGCTTGCCCTGTTGTACTCTGTGTGTTATTCAGTTTACATTTAGTTTGGCTAATTTATGTTGCTTGTGAGTGTTGGTGGGGTTGCTTGCGTTTATATGATTTTGTATGTCTAATAAACCATAAGTTCATAGCCTTATTTGGTGTGGTCAAGTATTTGGTCCTCCCGTACAGATACTTGCACATGGTGTGGGCCACCTGTGCACGGTATCCTGACAGGTGAGTAACAAAATTAAAAAAACGTTACCATTATAATACATCAATAGACCTGCAGCTCTATTTAAAGTGATTCAGTTTACAAAGTTTAAATCGATAAATTAGTAAAACAGAAAAAAAACGAACCTCTTTAATTGTAGCCTGAGGTACAGTATCTGGACCAATCTCAGAGTTTAAGTAAAGCAATGCATACAGGTAACCAGCTCTGCCATACAATAACTCATCTGAAAGTTCGGAGTCTGTGCTCACCACTCCTCGGTGTAGCTGTAGCAATCTGATCAAAATAAAATACAAAAAGAATAAGGGAACATGGATCAAAGCAGGAATCATTTGTATTTAAAGCGTTATTACAAGAATAACACTGCACTGCCCTCAAAGAGCTTACAATCTAAGGTCCCTATCGCACGCACATACGGGGCCAATTTTGGCAGGAGCCAAATAACCTTCCAGCAAGTTTTTAGAGTGTGGGAGAAAACCCACACAAGCATAGGGAGACCCCGCAAACTCCTTGCAAATAGTGTCCTGATAGTGATACGAACCAGGGAGTCCCAGGGCAGCAAGGCAGGTAAAGGTGCATCAAAATGACGTTTTTAAAACCGACAAAAAAAAAGTCATTTTTTAAAAAACCTTTTTAATAAAAACTTTAATTTTTGTATATTGTATTTTTATTAAATATTTTTATTTTTTTACTTTACTGTTGGGGGCTTTGGGGAAATATTAGGGGTCTATTTCCATTTTAAAATAGAAAAAGAGATTGAGGACACTGAGTCCTCAATCTCTTTTTCTGCATCCCCTGTTATAAATGAACAGGGAGCCTCTATACTGAGTGTTCCTGTTCATTCATAAATTGTGGAGATAGTATGTTTAACATGTCCACAATTGTGAATGAACAGGAAGTGATGTAGATCACTTCCCATTCATTCATAATTGGGGACACAGTAAACATACTAGGTCCTCAATGATTTACAATCAGTCAGCGATCAATGATCGCCAACTGCTTTTACACGCTCTCCATCCTGACTCACTATCACAGGAGGCTGAGCGAGCGGTGCTGGGAAGAGAGCTTGGTCTCCTGTGACAGCTGACTTCTCCCCCCGCACCGCCGACCTAGCCTCCTGTGACAGCTGTCTTCACACCGCTCTCCTGAACTGTCACATGAGGCTGAGCGGGGCGGTGCGGCAGGAGAGCTCGATCTCTTGTGACACGCCAGACGCTCACATCGCTCTCCTCCCCCGCACCGCTCGGCCTCCTGTAACACTTTCTCTCCCCCTGCTGGACGCTGCGCTGTGTCAGAGGGGAGGAGAGAATCCAGGCATGCACCACAATTTCAGCCAAAAGTGCAATTTTTGGCCGATGTGTTTCGCTGCATCCCTAGTTTCCAGAGTTTCATGGTGCAAGAATGGTGTAAGAATTACAACACGTATACACTTCAGATATTAAAAACGGAAAAATATGAAAAACAGAGAAGCCGATAGGGGGGCGCATGCGCGCGCAGAGCTAGGACGGACGCGTTTTAGTTCGGCTTCCTATCTGTTCTGGTAGAGCCTGCAATGTTTGTACTTTCTACATCTTTATATGCTAATAAAAATTTATTGAAATAAAAACGGAAAAATATGACTTCGCTAGAACCAGTTTATATATTAAAGGATAACTATGGGGTCAGTGTTTTCCCCCATAGTTCTCCTTAGGGTAACGGGAGGACACAAACTAGCGTCCTCCCGTTACCCTAAGCTCAGTATACCGCGAGCTGTAGCATACTGAGACGCGGCAGCCGGAGCGGATCCCGACGTAGATGACGGGATCCGCCCAGCTGCGTGAGTGACAGCTGGCTCTGCCTATCTAGAGAAGAGCCAGCTGTACCCGCCCCCTCCCCCGTCCGTTCCACCAGTCAGCGCTGGCAGATCGGAGCGGGGAATACAGCCCCTCCCCCTGTCACGGCAGAGAGCCGTGACAGGATCGGAAGGTGAGCGAACATGGTATGTATTCGCTCACCTCCCGATCTACTGAGCCGGCCTGTGACAGTCTCATTGTCACAGGTCGGCTAGAACTATGAGGTGAGTGGAAATCACTCATCTCATAGTTCTCCTTTAATAAAAAGAAAGGAAGTTGTGCACTTGTAAAAGTGACAGATCTAGTAAAAAACGATTGCAAGTCTACAGATTTACAATTCAAGCAAAGCTGTTGTAATGTAGATAAATCCCCCTCCTAATTCTTTTGATGACTTAATTACTTACACTGCATTGTTCAGCACAAAGTGCCAGTTCCAGCCAACACACACTTACTACGCCAGCTTCTGAAATCCCCCCTCTCCCAATGGGACATTGTCTGCTTTTTAAGTCAAATCATTCCCCACCTCACATTTCCATTAGCAGAAGCAGAACTGGTTAGAGGTAACAATATATTCATGTTGCGTCCTGCCAGAGGACTTGTCCTAATGTAACTAGCCTTGCAATAGGCTACAAATAGAACCTCCATCAAATTAACCACAATCTCATTAATATGCAGCACAAGGGAAATGAATGCATTTAGTCACATAATTAGCACAGTCAACAAAGAACATGTTCGATCAATTCAAATTAGGCAATAATAATTACAAAACAACATCATTATGGGTGCGGAGGTTTGTTGTGAGTAGCTTCATTCTCTGCTTTAAAACTGTTAATATTTGCTTACATCCTGCAATAAATAACATTCTGAAAATTAATGGACTCAAGTGACAAAAAGTCTTAACAGTAAACACTGAACCTAGTTGTTAGAATAATTGAGAGAAAAGTACAAGATTTTGATGACACAGCTACTAGCCTATTCATTACTATTCATACACCATATATTCAAATCAGTTTGGTGAGCCATCTTTGGTAGTGATGAGCCGAACACAGACCTTAAAAGGAGAACAATGGGGTTAGGGCTCTTCTTCATAGTTCTCCAAAAGGGTGACGGGAGGACACAAACTAGCGCCCTCCCGTCACCCAAAGCTCAGTATATCGCGAGCTGTAGCCTTGCGGTATACTGAGCTTTGGGTGACGGGAGGGCGCTAGTTTGTGTCCTCCCGTCACCCTCCGGAGAACTATGGGGAAAAGCCCTAACCCCATAGTTCTCCTTTAAGGTCTGGTAGGAATTTTAGGAGGGAACCCCATGTAAAAAGAAACAAAAAAAGTGTGTGGGGTTCCCCCTTAAAGTCATACCAAGCCCTTAAGGTCTGGTAGGAATTTTAAAAGGAGGAACGTCACCCCCAAAAATGGGGTAAAAAAAAAACAAAAAACACGTGAGGTCCCCCCTAAAATTCCATACCAGACGCTTCATCCGAGCACAGGCCTGGCAGGGCAGGAAATGGGGGACGGGGGAGCGATACCAGGCCACATGGGAGGGTGTTTTCCAGGGTCACCCCTGGAAAAGCACATTGTCCACGTGCCAATGGGGAAAAGGGCCTCTTCACCACAAGCCCTGAGGCGTTGGTTGTACCCCTACCCATTCACCAAAGGGTTGAGTAAAATTGTAAAAAAAAAAAAGATGCCAGACTTTGAAAAAATCCTTTATTTGAAAAAAAAAACACCAAAAGACAAAATTTTTGACAAGTATTTTATGTAAAAAAAAAAAAGTATCCGACGTAATCCTGCGTCAATCACGACGACGAAATAAAAAATAAAACAAAAAAAATTAATACAAATAATAATTTTTTTTTTTTTACAAAAGACGACCACCGTCCCGTCCGTTTGCGATGAAGATTGGCTAAAGCCTTATGGTCAGGTGCAAGGCTTTAGCCAATCAAGGCTTACAATGCACAGTGCCTTGTGGGGAACACACGAACTGCCAATGTTCAAGCCCATCTCTAATCTTTGAATGAACCCAATTCCATCATGTGGGGTTTTTACACTTAAGATTCTAACACGGATTTTTTGGACATTAAAAGGAGAACTATGGGGTCAGTGTTTTTCCCCATAGTTCTCCTTAGGGTAACGGGAGGACACAAACTAGCGTCCTCCCGTTACCCTAAGCTCAATATACCGCTAGCTACAGTTCGCGGTATACTGAGACGCCGCAGGCGGAGCGGATCACGACTTAGCTGACGGGATCCGCCCAGCTGCGTGAGTGACAGCTGGATCTGCCTATCCAGAGGCAGAGCCAGCTGTACCCGCCCCCTCCCCCGTCCGTTCCGCCAGTCAGCGCTGACAGATCGGAGCGGGGAGAGGGGAATCCAGCCCCTCCCCCTGTCACGGCAGAGAGCCGTGACAGGATCGAGAGGCAAGCTCGACGTTCGCGGCGATATGCAACATGTGCGGCGTAATGGGCGCAATCGTCGTTTTCGCAGGTATGCGCACCTGACGCATGTTTACATGCGTATATGTAGGGGTGGGGACTTTAAAAAAAATTTTTGTTTTTTTAATTCTTTTTTGTGTCACTTTAAAAAAATTTGGGGGAAAACTTTAAATTTTTTAACTATTTTTTTTTCCCCACTTAACTTTGCTTCATCAGCTTCTCTCCAGCATCTGAAGCTGGAGAGTGACACAAGAATGCGGAAGTGATGTAATATACACCACTTCCGCATTCTGACAGCGGAGAGGGGACCGGAGGGAGCTCGTGTACCGAGCTCCCTCTGATCCCCTGTGACAGAGGCACTATGCTGGTCCCGGGCTCACACCGGAGCCTGGGACCAGCTTGACAGCGGGAGGGGAGAGCCGCGGAGGGGGGGCGCACGTCTCGGGGCCTCATACAAGCGATCCGCCGGCTATAGAGCCGGATCGCTTGTATATTAACCGGCATCGCTGCCTCTTTTCAAATAGCGGGGATTTCCCGCCCGAGCGGGAGGATGTAACAGGATGTAACAGGATGTGTATACACGCCCAGTTACATCCAAGAAGCTCCCGGCCGGCCGTGTATACACAGCGGCTGGTCGGGAGGTAGTTAAACCATCTCTACTTTGCATCAGATATGACTCTCGATTGAAAGGCCCTCTAATGTTGCTTAAGCCAATACATGAGGGTACTAAAGTAAATAAAAACAGTAGCAGCAACAGTTTGATTTAGGAATTTCCAGAAATATTAACTGACGTGAAACATTCTAACCTTGCAATGCAGTCCTTGGATTCTGCCTGGTTCTGCAGCTTGTGGTGGACTACAGCTCCAACAGCAAGAGGTCCAGCATCCCCACAGAGGAAAGTGACTCTTCTCCCATTCAGGTTCCTCAAAACTCTTTTCACATAATCAAGAGAACGCTGCAAATAGGTTTGATCCGGAGTGACGCGGTACAGCTGCAGGTACAATAAGACTATGCCTACAAAAATAACCAGATTACATAATATATGTAAATCACATACATATACCTGGGAGTATATCAAAGACAATACTAACCTGGACAACATTTGGGACAGTACTAACCTAAAAGAACCCATTTGAAGTATATCCAAGACATTGCTAACCTATAAAACTCGCCTGGAGTATATCCAAGGCAGTGCTAACCTAGAAATCCCATCTGAAGTACATTCAAGACAATACTAACCTGGACTACATTTAGGACAGTACTAATCTACAGAACCCACCTGAAGTATATCCAAGAGCCTGCTAACCTAAAGACCTCAGCTGGGTTATATCCACAATGATGCTAACATAGAAAACCCACCTGGAGTGCGTATATCCAAGACAGTACTAACATAGAGAACCCATCCAGAACCCATCTACTATATATCCAAGACAATACTAAATTAGAGAACCCATCTGGAGTATATCCAAGACACTGCTAATCTAAAAAACTCACCTGGAGTATATCCAAGACAGTGCTAACCTAGAGAACCCACCTGAAGTATATCCAAGAGATTGCCAACCTAAAAACCTGAGTTATATCCAAGAAAGGACTAACCTAGAAACCCCTCTGGAGTATATTTAGGGCACTGCTAACCTAGGGAACCCAATTGAAGTATGGCCAGGACAGCACAAACCCAGAGGAGCTATGAGGTGTATATCAAAGACAGTAATAACATAAAGAACAAACCTGCATATCCTGTGTAAGTAGAACCATCATGTGGATCTGCTGTTTTTAGTCCTTCCTCCATTTGCTGAATCAAGTCGTTGATTTTCGTCTGGACGCGTCTTGAAAAACTTCCTGTGATCTATGTGAAGGTAGAATACAAAAAGCTATGCAAAATATTCCAGAATGTAGCTAAATCATAAGGGAGACAAGCCCAACTTTTGATAACAGATATATATGATCGATGTGCACCATATATAGAATGAATGTGACGAAATCCATTTATCATTAGGTATATAAAAATGCCGAAATAGGCTTACCTACTAAAAAGCTTTAAAGTAGAACTCCAGCCAAAAAATAACACGCTACCATTACCAGTTCATTAAAATATAAAAGGAAAAGCAGCTTGGTTGTAATATTCACCTTTGATCCAGAGCTGTCCCCTGCAGCACGTCTTTCCACCAAAAGATGTTCTTATTCTGATGGCTGCCATCATTTTACCGACTTTTTCTGAGCCCAGGCTGTTCTGTGTCTACCCCAGCTTGTAAATGGACAGTAAAAAGTAGACGCAGCGCAGTGATGAGCTTATCGCTGTCACACTGCTTACACCTTCTTTTGCCATGCTTTCTGTCAGCACAAACTGATTGGCTCCTTGTGCTGCTTCTTCCTCTAGCACCCCAGCTCTGCTGTACAGGGTCTGAAAGAAGCTGATAGCAAGTCAAATTCAGGTACTTACACTGCTTGCATTTAAAAAACAAAAATCCTATATTAATAATTACACAGCTGCATTAATATGCTTCTTTTACAACTGCCTAAAAGTTCAGTGTAACCCTTTCACTAACATGGATATAAGTACTACTTCAGTGGCATCACCAGCATATACAAAATCTCCTGGTTGCTATAGGAGCTGGGATGTTGCTTATTTTTAATCCTGGCCAGTACCACTGGGGGGTAGATTTGACAGGGGTTGACCCGATGGCTTCCCCCCACCAGGACACCCTGCTGAATCTCGCAGCACAACTGTGGTGAGGAAGATTGTCCCCTGTTCCACTCTCTCACCCAGCAGCTTGAACCCACCATGCCACCAATGCCCGATCCTGACCACTGGCTCTCAGATCACAGTGACAATATGGTTGGACCTCTGTAAACAGAAAGACAGTGCCAATCACTGAGACCCCTCACAGCTGGTGTCTGTGTGGAAGTGAAGACCGGAGAGTCCAGTGGACCTGGAGCAACATGCAGAGCAGCTCCTTGTGGGCTAGAGGTGGGTGAAAGGGCAGCATGGGGGATGGTACAGGGGGGCAGCAAATTGTACATGGCAACTATTTGTAATGACAGGCCCTCAGTGTCAAGCTGGCAGCGTTATGGAGATCAGCAGTTTTTTTTTTTTGATGATGCCTAAACTGCAGATGTAGGTGTATTTCTGACCTCTGCATGGTGAGTTACATACTATGGACCTCTGAACTCTGCCTTACATATATGAACCTCTGGACTCAGACAAGTAGGCTGTACAGGGCCCCATCATTTCTAATAGTGCCCATGTTTCTGGCTGCCTGAGTTCTCTGGTGTGGAAGATGCCCCCCACCACCATCATGTGCCTTGAGTTAACTTGTCCTGGGTGCCTGGGACCTCCATGGTGGGTGCCAGGAATGAGAGAGGCAGGAGATGAGCGAACATCCGTTCTCTGATCTCCCTGTGAAGCATGAACTCGCAAAAACTCAGCTCTAAGCACTTCAGGTTTCAAAACTGTCAATCTCTGGCCTTTCTTGCTGGGAAAGAAGCTGATGGGTACAGTATGTACTCATTTAGCTTCAAAAGAGTGCAGGGGAGCCTACTGTGCTATCACACAGTAGGCTCACCAGCCCCTGGTGATAGCAATATTCTGATAAAAAATAACTAAATACAAGTTTCAAAAATATAATTTTAACAAAACAAATAATACCCCCCCCCCCCCCCCCCAAAAAAAAAGTTTCACGTTTGAAGTCTAACTTGATAAAACCCAACTTTACATTCCTTATGTGGTCCCATTCACACAGCACACACAGTTGTTTCTTTGGAACAGGCCTGTGGGCAAAGTGGAAGCTAATGTGAACAATTTCAAAGTGAAAGCAAAGGGCCAATGTGGCGTTAGTTTCCCTCATTAACATACAATGCCAAACCCAAGCTTCGAGATCTTTAAGCCTTTGTTAGGACAAAGTACAAATCTAGTTTATCACTAAAAATGAAATCTAGCACAGTGCAAGCAAGGATAATTATGGTAAGCATTAACTCCTTGTCCTGCACTGAAGTCTACTGTGGCAAAAACGTTTAACTCTGCCCCAAAATAAGCTCAAGTACTTTTTCGAGTTACAGGGATTTTGGTACAGGCAACAGGACACTCAGGTGTGAACAAGGGTCATTGAAAACAATGGGATTCCTCCTGTTGATCACTGTAGTGCTTTGGCATTCAAGCTTCAAAACGCTAAGGTGTAAATGGGGCTTAGATGCCAAGCAACCTTCACCACTAGAGCCCACTGAAAGATCCCCAGATCCAGGGAATAGAAAAAGTGTAGTCCTGTCTGCAACCCTCCCCAATGACAGTGCTGGGTTCCTAAACACCCAACCCTCAGTCCCAAGCAGTTTCCGTTAGGGGTGTGAAGAAGTGTCTAGGCCAGTGGTAGACAAATGTATATGGAGATCAGTAGCCAGTCTAGCCAATGCAGGAGCAAGCAGGATGTTTTTTTAGGAGCAAGCTTCACTGACAACAACTAGGGGAAACCTCAAGAACTAGGAGCCAGCTGTGATTTTAATGAGCATTGGCTACCTGGCTCCTGGGATCTGTCTAGCCTTGGTCTAAGTTTATGCAATACTGACATTTTGAAAGAGAGTATTAGCAAAAAATCTTCCAGAAGCTCCAATGACAATGTGAAAAGCATCCCTCTGCATATCAATGTACTTTATGGTACTAATTATAAAAGTTTTTTGGGGGGCGGCTCACCTAATCTCTCCAACCAGGCTTGTTTTCCTAGATGTCATGGGCCATTTAATCTTGTCTAGTTAATGTAGGACATGAAGATTTGTAAATGATTCACAGTCTAGGGCCACCTATAGCCAGCAACCAAATTATCATAGCATTTGTTGTTAAAAGTGATACAAGTTAGCTGGTGTCAATGAAGCTTTAAAGAATCAACAGGGCTTTTTGGGCCTTAGAAGAGTTAAAGCTGAACTCCAGCTATAAAGATTGCGGTCCAGCTTGGCCCAATACAAGTAAACACAATGTATAACTGGTAGGGCCTCATGGTATTCTATAACGCACTGTAGTAGCCTGAGCTGTTCAGCTTGTATTGGAGATCAATTTGTGATCATTCTAAATTCCATCACATGTGTATGTTACCAGGGATGAGCTCAGGTTTGTACCAAACCTGTTCCAAATTCAAACTCCTCCAAACCCAGAAGGAGCCCCTCACGTGCCCCCGAATCAGCTACTATTGGGTATTCCCCTCCCGCAGCTTGGCTTACGCAAAAGGTGTCATTGACCTAATATGTCTATATTAGATATATGACGTCAGCACAAACATCCTGCCCCCTTGTTTACATGCAGCTGTGGAGTGGGGAATGCCCATAGCGCAGCTGACTAGGTGGAAGTGTCCATGGCACTTCCCTTGTTCGGAGAAGCTCAGGACTATGATCAGTCTGAACCTCAGCCCATCCCTACATGTAACAAGCAGTAGCCCTACTTCTAAACTGCATCAAGCTGCTTTAGCATTCTCATTTACACAAAACCCTAAGCTGGCCATGAACCTTGATTTGATCCAATTAAGTGTTAGAAAATCAAGTAAACATTTAGATAATAACGTTGTATACCCAGCTTTACTTACCTTTCCACATTTGTCTGGTGCCCCCCCACCAAAAGAAAAATCCTGATACTTCCAGGTATCATAGGGCAAAAGCACACACTGCCCCTGGCCTCTTTCAATGCAGTATTCGGTGCCTGTTTGGCCAATTGGTGGGCCCATGACAGTCTGGGCTTAGAGGAAGTGGGTTGAATGACACTGGCCATCATTCAGCATGGAAGACCGATGACATCTAGTGGCGGAGAAAACCTACTGCAAGGGGTGCCTCCGGACTAAAGGGAAGTATTACAGGAAAGCGGCTTTTTATTTATTTTTTTAAAGATCAATTAACTTAAATGTTTTCTCAGCTGCCATTCTGCTTTAACAATACAAGCAACACAACCAATTCCTTCTTTTCAATGCTTCAATGGGGGGGAATTAACAAAGGGAAACCCTTCAGTTTAAGCGGTGTAAACAGTGGTATGTTTACACGTAAGCGCAGTGCGCCAAATTAACAATGTCACAAAGCAAGTGCCAAATCACTTCAACGGTGTAATGCAACATATTCTAGAAATGTCAAAATAATAAAGTACTTCCACCAACGGTCTAACTAAAGGTGCCCATACACTGCACGATTCTCGTACGAGAATCGCGGGAAATTACGCGATCGTACGAGAATCGTGCAGTGTATGGAAGGTGTGCGCCCGTTTCTACTGTACGGTCGCACGTCTTCCGTCGAATAAGCATGCTGGAAAACCCGCCGGGAATCATACGATTCTCGGCGAGTTAGTGGCTGCTGGTTCGACAACTGTCAAACGGGCCGGTGTGCGAACGCGCACACTGCCCGTTTGCAGTGATCGGAAGCCCGCCCCTCTTTGCCGTCATAGGAAGCCCGCCCCTCATTGCAGTCATCGCAAGCCCGCTCCTCAGGGGGGCGGGCTTGCGATGATCGCAAGTACGATCTGCCTGTCCAAGATGGGCAGATCGTACGTTTTTTAAAGTACTTTACAACCCTCGGTTGTAAAGTGTATGGGCACCTTTAGAGTCTATATCCAGGGAGAAAAAAATACTTCCCTTCCAATGGATGGGCCTACCCCACACTGCAAGAGTTAAAATACTTGTTTAGGTCTAGGGTACCCAAGTAAAGGATTTTTACGCACCTAATCCCCACTCCCCTGGCAGTCAACGCTGACCTCTCTCCCATACAGGGACTGCCCCTCATGTAATGACTCACCGCCCGGCTTCCCGATTAGCCGTCACCAGGTGACGAGGAAGCAAGGAGCCAGCTTTCTGGCCAATCAGAAAGCTGGCGGGCAATGACTCCCCGCATGGCTTTCTGATTAGCCAGCTTCCCATCCAATCAGGAAGCCGGGCGGCAAGTCATTACATGGCGCATGGCTTCCTGATTGGCCAGGAAGCCAGCTCCATGCTACCTCGTCACCATGTGACAAGGAAGCATGGAGCCGGCTTTCTGGCCAATCAGGAAGCTGGGGGTCGTGTAATGACTTGCTGCCCGGCTTCCTGATTGGCTAGCTTTCCAAACAATTAGGAAGCTGGGTGGTGAGTCATTACACGCCGCCCAGCTTCCTGATTGGCCGGGAAGCCAGC